GGAACAATAACTCTTGATGGGACATTTTCAGCGGGTATATATGATTTTGTCACCCTTCTCGTATCTGTGAACGCATCTGGTAACTGGTTTGCCAAATTATGCAAATGCACAATTTTCTGAACTTCCAGCTCTCTTTGATTCATAGGGGGATCAAGGTGTAACAACGATGGTGTACACCAAGTAATCTCTTTAGGAATTTCTCTAATTCCTCCCCCTAACGCTGGAAATTCTTCCTCATTAAAATGGCAATCAGCAAATCGTGCCGTAAACATATCACCAGTTACTGGTTCCAGATATCTTATTATACTTGGTGACACATAGCCCACATATACTCCCAATCTCCTCTGTGGGCCCATTTTTGTTTTTTGTGGTGGAGCTATTGGAACATAGACCGCACACCCAAAGACACGGAGATGGGATACATCTGGCTCATGCCCAGACGCCAATTGTAATGGGGAGTACTTATAATATGCACTCGGTCTTAACCAAATTAGTGCATCCGCATGCAAAATAGCATGACCCCATACTGAAATTGGGAGCTTTGTTCTCAAGATCAACGGCCTTGCAATCAACTGCAACCGTTTAATTAATGACTCGGCCATGCCATTCTGTGTATGAACATGGGGCACTGGATGTTCTACATCAATCCTCACTGACATACAATAATCACTAAAGGCTTGCGATGTAAATTCACCGGCATTATCAAGTCTTACTTTCTTAATGGCATATCCTGAGAACTGCGTTCTAAGCCTTATTATTTGGGCATTGAACTTTGCGAAAGCCGTATTTCGTGTTGTCAAAAGACACACATTTGACCATCTACTAGATGCATCAATTAATACTATGAAATACTTAAACGGCCCGCACGGTGGGTGGATCGGTCCACATATATCACCATGTATTCTTTCTAAAAACATTGGTGATCCATTGCCTACTTTTGCTGGTGATTGCCAAGTTATAAGTTTTCCTTGAGAACATGCTTTACATGTAAATTCGCCCGTTTGCAAAATTCTTCCGTTTTTCAACGGATGTTCATTTGAATTTTGCACTATTTTTCTCATCATGACTGAACCAGGATGTCCTAGCCCCTCATGCCAGATTTTAAATGTATCAGTAAACTTCATGTTTACCACAGCATATGACTCAGTCATGTGTATTTCTGTACAATATACTCCAATGGGTAACATTTTTAATTCTTCCAATATATGTTTCCCCTCAGACATAATGCAAAGAAATTCAATGCCATCTTTACACATAGTCTCAATATGGTATCCATTTCTTCGGATATCCTTGAAGCTTAACAAGTTTCTATTAGACTCGGGGGAGTATAATGCATTACTTATTTCAAAAATCGCCCCCCTTGGCATTTAAAATTTCACTCTTCCAGAGCTCATTATAATCTTTGCATTACCAGATATTGTACTTACGCTTCCTGCGTAATATTTTATTTTGAGACTAGAGAAATATTTCTTATCTTTGATTATCGTGTGCGTCGTAGCACTATCTACCAAACACATATCTCCATCCATAGTCTCAAAGTTTGACATTCTTTCTGAAAACATGTATTATTAAACTTATATTACATAACATAAAATATGCATTATTAAACAAGAAACATAACATATATCTTACAACAAAAGATATAGATACTATAATACAATAAACTTATATCACATCGATTTTATATTACTCATCGATACTCTCTGGCTCAACCAGAAAGTCTGATACGTCGAGATGAGTATCATCATTTAAACCATGAAAGGATGGCACGGGTTCATCAGAGATGAAGTTTGTTTCACCTTCTTTCTCTTTTCTCTTTTGAGATTCTTTATACAGATCGGCTAAATATTTTGGCGTACGGCAAACATGTGTCCAATGCCCTTTCATACCGCATCTGTAGCAAACTCATGTTTCCTTTTTATTATCCCGGCCCCTTTCACCTTTTTCATTTTCGTGGAGATCTTTATTATTTCTTTTATCATATGGACAGAATCTTCTTCCTCGTCCTCTACCACGACCATGATTTCGACCACGTCCACGACCTCGTCCTCTCCAATTATCATAATTGGATGATGCAACATTCGCTTCAGGGAATGGAGCAGATCCAGTGGGACGAGCCTGATAAAGTCACGAGTTGATTATTCTCCTCCGCTACAAGGAGGACTTGCATCAACTCCGAGTAACGGGTATATCCACTCGCCCGGTATTGTTGCTGCAGGACTATATTTCCAAGATGGAACATGGAGAGAGTTTTCTCGATCATATCATAATCACTTATTTTCTCTTCACATAACATCATCCTAGATGTAATTCCGAACATAGCGGAATTAAACTCACTAACACTTTTATAGTCCTGGAATCGGAGATGGATCCACTCGTGTTTAGCTTTTGGTAAGATCACATATTTTTGGTGATCGAACCTTTCTTTTAAAGATTGCTAGAGGTCCAAAGGTTCCTCTTTCGTAATATATTCATCTTTTAAACCATCATGTATGTGGTGTCGTAAAAATATCATGGCTTTAGCCTTTTTCTCATCCGACACCGTTTTTGTATTATCAATGGTTTCCAAAAGCATGTTTCCTCTTAGGTGCATCTTTGCACCCACTGCCCAGGTCATATAATAATTTCTCGTAATATCCAGGGCATTTATTTCGAGCTTTGTCAGATTCGACATGATAACTGTTTTAATAGAATAATAATTTAAAAATATAATAAATACAAGAATTTTAATGCATATTTAAATGCATAAATTAAAGGCATAAAATAAAGGCATAACATAAATTGCATAAATTTAAATCGCAGAAATTTAAAAGCATAAATAAAATTGGAGGCTTAGCCTTCCAAATGATCCGAGGAGACATAGTCTACCATGTTGATCACTTTTATCAAGGTTTGAGGAGACATAGTCTTCCAAGTTAACCTTTTCTTTTTATTCAAGGTCCGAGGAGACTTAGTCTACCATTTTTGACCTTTCATTTTTATTAAAGATCCGAGGTGACATAGTCATCCATTTTGATCTTTTTATTCACGGAGGCAAAGCCTATCACGTGTTTCTCTGATCGTGACGGCATAGCCGTCTTATCGATCAGTCGGGGAAGGCAACGCCTATCATCCAAAAAAAAGAAACGGAGAAGGCATAGCCTCTTACTCCGAAACAATAATAAAATTACAATAATAAAAATTATTGAAATACATAAATTAAACATTACCTCACCGATATAACCTTATTTGATATATGATTAGAGCTTCGTGCTGATAACGTGTTGTATAATATATATTATTATATTATTTTATTATATTTTATGTTTGTGTTTTGATGAAAGCAAAACAACGAGGGAGAGTTGAGATGAAATGATAATAGTTGTTGAACTTATGTATATATTGCTTCTACAAATGAACATGAAACCTCTTTATATAGAGGAGAGAAGTCAGTGTAAACAAAAAGACAAAATTTATGATAAGAATTATCTCTTTTCAACCTTATCTTAGTCTAATAGATAATTAATTATCTTAACAAGTATAATATAATTTTGTAGGTAGTTCTTGATATATGTCATGTGCAAAGAAATAGTATTTGGTCTATTTCCATGTAAAATTGTCACATCTGTAGTGTATAACTTTTCAGTGGTTATATCTTTAAATTTTTAGGTTATTATTATTGAGCAAAATTCCCCAATTAATAATTGTGATTCTTGTTACCATAAAAAATGAGGACAAGATAGGTAATTTTCAACTAAATTGTGTTGAAAAAAAATATCAATCATTTTGAAATTGGGGGAGGAAGGGCTATAAAAAAATTATCAATCATGTTGTTGCAATCTCCGACATGTATTTTGTCATGTTCGATGACAACACAAAAAACACATTTGTGTTGAATCCAAATTCAAGCGATAAGGAACTTATCCTAATAGCTTTGTTTTGGAAACAGTCACCATGGAAAAAGTGTATTGAAGACGAGGAATTCCAAGATGATGGACAATCTCATAATCGTAGTCCGGAATTGTCCATGGTGATGCAACCACAGATTTTTTTACTATACCTTTTGAAAGAATCAATAAATTGAATTTTTTTCTTAAAGAATATCTATAGATCCTATTTGGAATCTGGTCAATGTTATACAACAAAGAAATCTACGAAGAAGAATTTGGTTTTTCATCAAAAAGATGGTAATCAAATGGAGATAGTGTTACATAAGAAGAAAGAAGATAGTTCAAGAAAAGTTCTTTCTTTCTTTTTTTTTTTTTTTTTTTTTGAACACAAAAGAAAAGTTCTTCAGATCTTGTTCTTTGTGCTTCAATATTTTACAATTGTAGTTTTGCATGTAAATGTAATTCTGTAATTATACTCTTATTGTAACTTTACATTATATTTGAATATATAGTTGTTACAAANTTGAACACAAAAGAAAAGTTCTTCAGATCTTGTTCTTTGTGCTTCAATATTTTACAATTGTAGTTTTGCATGTAAATGTAATTCTGTAATTATACTCTTATTGTAACTTTACATTATATTTGAATATATAGTTGTTACAAAAAAAAAAAAAAAAAAAAAAAACACTGCTACCATTCCAAAAGGGTCAAGTAACCAACCAGATTCTCTTTTTACGGTTAACATAAAAAAATCTAATTCACCATGGACTTTATGGTGTGCTAATATAAATATATAATCCTTGTATAAGTTTGTAGTGTCACCAAAACTCAAACTACATAATTTTTTATGTTTATGTTTACTTCGAGGCTTGAGCAATGGCATAATGGCCCAGTTTGTGAGTTATGACTAGTCGTTCGTTTTGGTGTTCAAATAAGTGAACCAAGTCCAGAAGCTACTAGTATTCTCCAAAGAGGTTACTTGGATTCAACGACCACAAGTTTTCCCTCTGCCAAAAGATAGCACAACCACACGTGGCAGTAACCCATTTGCTCCAAATTCTTATTTTGGATAAGGAAATAGATCATAATCCCTCAAAACCAACTTTCTTTGCCCAAATCCCCAACTTTTTAAAACCCACTCAGCACCAAACTCACCAGATAGTCAGAGAACAGAGAGACAGAGATTAAGGGATCAAACGTGCAGATCAACATCACCATTTGCTATGGCGTCGATGACCATGACATCTTCATTTCTCCCTACCGTCTCAAAGCTTCCAGCAACCATAACCAGCAGCAACAGAAGGAGCCTCACTGTTGTCAAAGCCTCCACGAGCGAGAACACAACCAAGCAAGAACAGATCATGAAGATGAGGAGGGATGTGGTGTTCACGGCTGCAGCTGCGGCTGCGTACTCCTTAGCCAAGGTGGCCATGGCAGAAGAAGAAGAACCCAAGAGAGGGACAGAAGCAGCCAAGAAGAAGTATGCTCCTGTCTGTGTCACAATGCCTACCGCCAAGATTTGCCGTAACTAAGTTCACTATTTTCACCAACTAAACTATATATTATTGTCTCTGTTTTGTGTGTGAAATTTTCTCAGTCAGTATGTAATGATCATCTTTGCACCAAATCTATTATAAAAACCTTTGTTAATGTACTTGAATCGTTCACTGGTGCGATTACAAACAATTAAGACCGAAAGAACTTGTATCAGTAAATACTTATACTCAACCTTTGGCTACAAATCTTTACAATCTCAATAAGAGCTATATAATCCAATAAGAAATCAACTATTGGGATTAAATCATGAGGTTTGATAAGAGTAAACAGTTTAAAGAAGGCTGACAAGTTCAGGAGACAAAGGTACTGCACCTCTGGTTTTATTCTTCTACTATATGTTGAAGAGGTGCTTCTGTTACTCTACTCCACTGGGCCAGACGAAGTCCCCTCCTCTTCTTCACCATCAAATTCTTGCTCAACACCTTTGACCTGTGCTTTGCACAAACAACACTTTGGTGAGTAATCTTTAAAACAGGACAAGAGACTACTATAACAAGATCATGATGGATTCCCTGGTAAACAGCTGAAGGGAATAACAGAAATGAGCTCTCGTTATCAGCTTTACCTCGGATATATAATGCATCAGCATATTCTCAATCCCTGATTTCAAAGTAACAGATGAACTTGGACAACCGCTACAAGCTCCTTGCATTCGAAGCTTAACTATGCCAGTTTCCCTGATCAAAAACATATAGCTTTGATAAAGAAGTGGATCTTCTTGACCATATGCTAAAACTCATAGAAAAAGAACTTACGTATCGAATCCACAATACTCAATGTCTCCTCCATCATCTTGGACAGATGGTCGGATGCGAGTCTCCAAGAGTTCCTTGATCATCGCTACAGTTTCAGAGTCATCCTGAATCACAGATTTCAACACTTGTTAGCATTTGGTTTTAAAGTATCTCTCATCTACCTGGAAAACATTGAAGGAAGCTTACGTACGTCGTTAACAGCAGTATCCTTGGCCGCTCCAACTTGTGAGTCTAGAAACAAAGGCTGGCCAGAGGAGTAGAAGTCCATTACCACTGCAAACACTTCAGGCTTGAGAAAATCCCATGTCACATCGTCTGACTTTGTCACAGTGACAAAATCTGACCCAAAGAAAACTCGAACAACACCTGCATGCCAAGAGAGAGTGAGGAGTAAAACAAAGAGCATATGTAGATAAAGAATGCAAGAGAGATACCATCAATGGAGAAGATGGCTTTCGCCAAAGGTGAAGTCATAGCTGAACGAGAGTTAGGGAAGTCTGCGCTTCCCACTTCCATGACTGGTTTGCCAGGACTAAACATCAGAGAAGAAGGGTTTGGTGTTGATTGGGTTTGTATAAACATCGTCCTCCTTTGCACTGCCTCCCCCAAACACACACAAGTTTAGTTAACTAAAGAGAGACTTTCAAATCATAACCTCTCAGCTATTCATTCATTCTTTTTTTTCTTTTTTTTTTTTTTTTTTTTTTTTTTTTTTTTTTTTTTTGAAACAAGCTATTCATTCATTCATCTCTCAAACTCAGACACATAAGTTTAGTTAATTAGAGAGAGACACCTTCAAGCAATAACTTCATTCATTCATCTCTCAAATATACACACACAAGTTTAGTCAATTAGGGAGAGACCTTCAAGCCATACCCTCTCAGCTATTAATTCACTCATCTCTCAGACACACACACACACACACACACAGGTTTAGACTGTTTAATCAATTAGAAAGAGACCTTCTTCAAGCTATAACTTCATTCAAAAAGATAAGATTTTTCAAATGCCCACAAGCACATACCTTCAATTGATATCGATTTGAGAGGAAAGGAAGAAGCTTTCAAAGGGTTACGAGAAGCATAACTCGTCGGGTGACTCGTAGATAATTGGTTTGTCGCCGAGATGAAGAGAGGGCGACGGGATATCAAAGGAGGAGAAGGCGAAGAAAAGATCTCGCGAGCTCTTCTATGTCGCCAAAGAGATTTTACAAACCTCGTCATCCCTTTCATCGTTGCCTGCCTTTTTTTAGGTTTATAAAAAAAATTAAGAGAATAATCACAAACAAGGTAGCTACTCGTTGGAATGGTTTGGTGATGACCGGAGAAGAAGAAACCTTCGTTACGGCGACGGCTCCTTATTTTTTGATCTATGAATTTCTGTTACCGTCACCATTAGTACCGTGATTTAATAATGAACCGGCTTTAACCCCCAACCAGTTTATTTCTACTACCACCGAATTGTGTAGCTCTAAAACGAATCTAACCGACCTTTAGCTTCATAAATTTCCATATATTCTTTTTTTTTGTAATTGGCTAGTTTTATATATGTAGTTTTTTACCTTCTAAACCATTTAAAACTGTCGGGAGAGAAAAATGGTCTTAAGTCTTAACCGTGAACTAATAATTCGAATTGAACCAAAACCAAAATATTTATAAACTGATTAACCCAAAAATTACTTGTAAAAACTATTGGTTTAAATTTTCTAAGGTCTACTTTCTGGTAATTTGGTTCGGCTATAATGGGCCATTACAACATGTATCGTATTGACATACAAATTTGATATACAATATTATCCAACCATTTGTGTTTCTGTTGTGGTGGAGATAATTTATATTTTTTCGTAAAGAGGGATTTATATCTTAGGACAATTATTGAATTTTTATTACACTATAAAACACTTTCTTCTCCTAGACATTTTTTTGTGATTTGTTCCTTTTTTTTTTAACTAAAACGTAACTGAAATATAATTAGTAGAATCCACATATTAATATTATCTTTTTCACCATATTTTTAGCAGGCGGTAGCGATTACTCCAACAAAAGTAGGGATGAGAGAAACAACATCATCGCAAGCTTCTGAAGAGCTATATTCTCGATTGAGGAAGCAACACATGACGGAGCAGTCGTAGAGCTCTGTTGGCAACAACCTCAAACCGCGAGATCCATTCCAAGTTCGACAGAGCTTCACCACAATCCGCATCAAGATCAAATTGTCTACTCTTTGCCATGGTCGTCATGCTCGTGACCGGAGTTGTGCATGCTGAAATCGATATTGTCATTCACAGCTCAAAGAGAAAACTTGATTGAAGCAACAATTGTCAAATTTTGATTATTTTCACATATAGTCCTCCAACTCATTCATATTCTCTAATTTGTCATAAAATTTTAATATGTTCAAGTTTCTTCACCAATTTTCCCCGGGACTTTTAATTGTGTAATGGAGTATGATTTATTTTTATGTACATTGTTCAATAATATATTCATTTATGTAAGAAAAAATTACGCTAATTTAACTATCCACATATACATGATACATGTGTACACTTTTCAACTTAGACAATGATTCACATGTACATACTGAAAAATAAATCACCAAATCCATTGCTTGCATTTTTGTTTAGCCAGAAACCTAAATCTTATTTTGTAACTGAACTAGAAATCCAATTTTGTGCGTAAAAGTATATTTTTTATTTTACCTAAAATTTTAAAATATACCCTCTATTTACGAAAGAGAATTTTCGCAATAAAAATATTTATTTAGATAAAATTTCAAACATTGCAAAATGATACACCATTTAACCTCCGAATTAAGATTCACATATATACCTGATAGATTTCAAAATATCTTATGATTTTAATTTAGTTTTACAATCTTAATTGTAATATGATTCATTTTTTTTTTGTATATGTTGCTGTAATGACATATGTATCTAGTCATATATACTTCAAAAAATGTACACAAATTTAACTACCCAGATGTACAACGATACATGTGTACACCACTCAACCATATATATACATATGTACACATGTACAAAAATTATATGTGTTAATGTTTACATATGTATGCACATGTATACATTATCAATAAAATCACAAAATAGTACCATAAAATATACATTCTTTTTCTAATTAAAAAAATAAGTAGACAGTAGGAATCAAGGTTTACTATTGATATACATGTGAATGTGTACAATATATATATATATATATATATATATATATATATATGTGTGTGTGTGTCTACACATGTACAAAGATCTATATATTTATGTGTACATGTTTGTATGTGTACATGTGTATATGTGCATACTATTAAAGATATGGTTTGAAATGTACAACATAATTATACATATTATATTTGACAAGTACAAAATCATAACACAAAATATCATAAAACACAAGATATGAAAAGTGGTGTACATATAATTGATATGTTAAAGTGTTCACCAAATTTGTATACATATGAATGATATGTTTTATTAGCTTTAAATTGTGAACAAATAGTACTACATAAACATGCTTTCAAGGTAGTCCAGTAATTTGTGCCTTAATTTAATCAACAAAGGTAGCATGTTCGACTTGTGAAGGTTGTATTTTTGTTGTTTGTTCCTGTTTTTCATTAGTCATAGCAAAGTTACAAAAATGCTTTCACCTTCTTCATAAGTCTCTCTCGCTTGAAAACCCTAATATGTGTCTCCATTATTTTTTTTCGTAATTCTTGCAACTTTCCTACTTGTGTTTTATCACGATTCGTATTGGTAGATAATAGATTTTCATCATAAACCCTAAATCAAAAGCTTATTCACCGCTCAAAATGGTTTAGATTTTTCTCATGCTCTGTTTTCATGAACAGTTGTTTGTTAGAGAATAAACTTTTACCGGAAACCGGAGTTGAATTCAGCAATCCCATTATCGAAGATCAATTCCGTCACCGGCATAAACCCGACTTTCTGCTTGACAGAAAACTAAATATTCTATTAGATTTATGAAGAAAAAAAAAGATATGTGAGAGAGAAGATAAGAAAAGAGAATAAATGAAGTCTACTAATTATAAGTTAGTTTTGTTTCAACGATCAAATTAGAGAAAAATATCTTAGGAATCTAAAGTGTCTTATGGTGTAATATAATTTATAGCAAATGGCCCTAAATATAATATATTTTTTTGTAAGCTTTATTGCGGGGATAGAACTGGACATTTTAAGAAATGGTCCAATTTGGATATTACAAAAACACTGGGTCAGATTTGAGTCGGATCTTCTTGGATTTAGATTTTAATCGAAGTAATCAAATTACTCGATTCAACTGGGATATTTTATATCTAAACTACTTAAATTTATGTAAAAATAACCAAACATCCAAAAATGTTGAAAATACATACATCAAATTGGTTATTTTATCCAAAAGTAACTAATATATTTAATTTTTCTTTTATTTTTAGGTATTAATATTAGTACAAATATAATTAAAAATAATATTATCTATATATATATATATATATATGTTTCAATATTCACTCGTTTCTCGATACGGATCGGGTTTAGTTTTCAAATTTTGAAAAGAGACTATTTCGGATATTTAAACAAGATCCGATCAGATTCAGTATCCTGATTTCGGATCGATTTCAAGTTAGTACTTCAGATACATATACTATGCCCAGCCCTTGTGGGGGAGATTGCAACCTAGAATTCTTAAAAACTTTAATCAGCTTTGACATAAACGTACGATAAGCTTTATCTTTGATTACTTGATTATGTTAGCAAGTACTTATTAAATATTTTATTTTATGCTTTACGGATTTATTTGAATTTAAATACCACTAATTTTGGGACGTTTAATTAAGAGTTAGTACAAAGACAAAAAGAAAAGAAACTGATGGGTTCAAATCAGGTCCTCATTCCAAGGTGATTTGCTTTACCGAATTGTATTTTGGTTTGTACGTGTTAACATGCTTACGTGCGACATATTCCTTGGACGAATATGTACGAATACTTTATAGCTACGTATATCCCCACCAGTGTATATTGTATTTACCTTAATTAGGTACTTATTCGATAAATATTTATGTTTACATGAGCATTTTATGAAAACTCTATAAATTGTTAGTTAAATATACTAATAGTTTCATATAATGTAAATATATAATTATCTATCAATTCTAAATTAAATAATTTGACAACTTATTAATAGATTTTTAGTGAATCTCTTAAAATCCAAATTGTGTAGATGTAATAGTAAATGTATTACAGTCAGAGACGGATGCATAGACTTAAATTAGAGGGGGTTACAACTGCTATGTATAATTTTGAAATTTGGAACATTCAACACATGTAATAAAAATTTTTATAAGGAGAAAAATTAGTTGGGGTCATAGTCCCCGTAGGCTTGGCTGTGCGTCTGCCACTGATTCCAGTTGTAGCTTTTATCTTAATTAGGCTCGAGTAGTATTGATCACCTAGCCTCATTCTAAACGGATTTAAGTGTCACTGTATCAGTACATACCAGATGCAAAGACTTTGTGGAATTAATCTTTAAAATTAGAAAGTTTTTGGTATTCCACGGTTTCTTAAAAATTCATTTAAGAATCTCTTTTTTTAAATGACTTTATTTTAAGATCTCCTCTCACTTCTTTTATTTTCTCTTATTTTAACAAAAAAAAAAGTTTTATATAAACTATTCAATAGCCGGCTAACGAACTATGAAGGATATGTTTAAGGCACGGGAGCTGGCCATTGGGAAAAAAATGTTTTCCTAAAATATTAATTATAATTGTATGCTTTAGTATGATATATTATATTTATCATTCACAATAATAAAGCTTTAGAAAATTATAAGTTCGGTTAGATTTTGTTTCAGTCGTCAAAGTTTTCAAAAAAAAAAATTTTAAAAAGTTTTTCTTCATGGATGTTCTTTTTGCATGGATGTTGTATATACTTGACTTGTACACCCTAAAGTGGCCCTTTAAGTATGTTACTTCAATGGGAAAATTGCCAAATATGACTCAAAACTTGATTTGAAATGCAAAAGTAAACCCAAACTTGAATCAAATGCAAAAGTAACTTAAAAGGCTATTGAAATTACAACCAACTCCTTGTGAACAAACAAAAAACGCGAATTTTTTTTACGTTTCTAGCCCTCGTAAGTCGTCTGCCCAGACGACTTTCAAATAAGTCGTC